CCTGCACAGGAAGGTGCGGACTCATTATCGGGGGCCTATCGCCGATCTATCGGCGATGCATCGCCCATCCCAGGTCGATGCATCCCCCCCTATGCCAGTCCCCCCTTGTCGTTGCCCCTCAAAGATGGGCTCCTGACTTCGGATCCGCCGGGATCTTGGTCGATTTTCCGAGGTGAGCTCGTGTCGAGCATGCACCCAGAACGATGCGAACAGCTGGGGCAGACATGTCTGCCTCGGGAGGATATTTCCGCAGAGGGATGGGGTTACCCCACACCTCTGCGGAGCCAGCGTCGGCAAAGTAGGGCGGGCATCCTCACCAGAGGAGCCTGAAGAGTAGGGCGGACATCTGCCCACTTCCTGAAGTCGGGGTGGGCCCTGAGGTTTGGGCCCCCCCGGGCCTGAGATGCAGGCGTTACAAGCTCTCCACACCGGGCGTTCTCGCCCGGTCTCTGGCCCGCAAAACACGTTGCAGACAGGTTGGGCTTCGGGCTCTGGCCGTGATTTTTTGTCTGCGATGCTGCAGCTTCTTGTCGCAGCGTCGGACCTCAGGGTCTGCGGGCGAGTGGCCTCCGCGAGTGAAGGCTCAGATCGGGCCCCTTCCTCTCCTGCCCTCACGGCCCCGTCCCTCACCTTGGGTCCAGTGCCGGCGGCTTCTCTCGCGGGCCTCCCTGGGAGATCGGCGTCGCAGGTGTGTTCGCACGGGGCGTGCCCTCCCGGGCTCGAGGGCCCCAGAGAGGGAGCTCCGATGAGGTCAGCCACGCGCAGAAGGGGGGTGGGGGGAGGGGGGAGGGCTTCTGAGAGGCGCCAAGCCTTCTTAGAAGGCGCGGGCCTTATCTATAGATGTAGGGCTGGTGCCTTCTGAGAAGCAGCCTCCTTCTCAGGAGCACTCCTTCCCCCCTCCACCCCCCTGTGCTCACCGCCAATGAGGGCCGCAGAGGGAGGGGACCTGGGGCTCCGGTTGCGATTCCCTCACGGTCGTGCAGCTTCTTCTCGCGACGTTTGATCTCATCCACCAGGAAACAAGCGAAACCACCCCACCTCCGGCGCGCCGTGCTGGATGCTTGCGACCTTGCCTCGCCGTCTTCCGCGTGGTGCTTCCTGGCCGACGGCGGCACGATGGAATGGAGACGTGCTTGAATGTCCAACGCCGTCCTGCCGCAGGTGGGGTGGTGTCGTCCAGTGCGTGGCCCATCGCAGGGTGCTCGGCTCCAGGAGGCCAGGGAGCGTGCCAGCCGCGGGGGGGTCGGCAGCGTCTCCCGGTCTTCCTGCCTGCGTGGCTCATAGGCTGTGGGGCCTCGAGGTTTCTTGCAGGGCCCGGAGGACGGTCCTGCTGGCTGTCGTGGTAGCGTAGGGCCCCTCCCACAGAGGCCGCGTGCGCGAGCGCAGTCTGGGCGTCACTTCGTACCACCATCAGTTGCGTGGCTTTGCTGTGCCCGGTCTGTCTGCGGTCCCTGGGGCATCTCCCGGACGTTCGCAGAATTGCTCCGGGTCGACGCGGCAGGCACGCAGTGCAGTCCCAGCACTCCGCCACTGGAGCCACTCAGAGGGGGCAGCTCGCTAAGCCTTTTTGGAAGGTGAGCGTCGGCCCTCGGAGAGATCTGGAGACTGGTGATTGTGGCTTCGGGCTTCCGGAACGCACCATCCAGTCCGGGACAGATGTTGGGGGTCCCTCAAACGGTGCGGTGACCACACCGTGTGGTGAGAAAGTGGGGATTCGGAGTGGCCGCTCGGTTTGGTGACTCGGGTCGCTCTGCGAGGACGTGTCTGGTGACTGGGGCTTCGAGGGTCCCAAATTGTGTGGAGGCGGACTGTGCGGTCAGTTATTTTGAGATCCAGAGGCCGCCGCATCAAAATCCTTGAGGTCTTGACGACAATCGACTTGCTGAGATCAAGCCAGGTAAATCTAGATGAATGCAGAGAAATCGAAGTACATCCTAGCAAATCCAGGTGAATCTAGGTGAAGCCAGAGATCTCCAAGGAAATCTGAAGAACATCGTGGCCGCTCCAGCGCCCCCCGAGGGACGGCAGCAGCCGCTGAGCCCTTGAAAACCCCAGCTGGATCTGCGGCCGCTGGCTTTTCACTCACGTAGTAATTTCCTTGTCTCCCATGCCGCAGTTCATCGTATGAGCTAGCCCGTGCCAGGTCGGTTCGTGCAGCATTCCTGCTTGACTGGCGATCGTCTGCTCCACGCTGCTGCGCCAGTCGCGCCCGTGGTGAGGCCCATAGTGAGGTTTCGTGGCCGCGCGTTCCTCTTCCCTTTCCCTCCCCGGAGAACAAAACCGAGGAACTGCGGGGCTGCTGGGAGGAGCTCACAGTGCTCCGCGAGTGCCTCCAGGACGCAGGCGTGCCTCGCCCGGCGCGCCCGCCCCCGATCCCGATGCCGTGGCCCGGCGGCGGATCTGCCTCCGCCGCCCTGTGCGCAAGAGTCAGAGGCCACGCTGGCCCCAGGGGGGGTTGGGCTCGGGGAGGACGAAGTTTCGAGGTTCGAGGTTCGCGGACGTTTTCGTGGGTACTCGGAGGCCTTCATCAACCTCGGGATCCCAACATCGGGAGGCCTTCCGGCGGCTGCGCCTCGCCGGGGGCGTTCCAGGGTTGCCGCAGATCGTCCCGAACGGCCGCTGGAGGCCAGAGTGGCCGAAAGCCACTAGGGACGGGAACATGCTCAGGGGGGGATCCGACCCCGATCGCCCCATGGATCGCCGACCGAGGCCCGCCCACCCGCTCAGGAACGTGTGGTTTCGGTATCGCAGGCCTACCTTCGATCTATCGCGATGCATCGCCGATTCCAGCTCGATGTTTCCTCCCCTCCCGCCCCCCTGTGCCGGTCCCCCGCCGCTGCCCCTCACCATTCCCTGAAATCTTCGCGCGCTGCAGAAAAATCTGGACGGGAAATTGTCGAATTCTCATTTCTGAAGAAGTGTTGTTGATCCCATCCAGGTGCCCGTTGTAGTTTTCAATTGAGGTGACCCCCGCGCCTCGTGTTTGTGTTTGTTTCACGGGAAGTTTTGAGTCTCAGACTGCACCCCTGGCCCTTGGTTTACATCGACAACGGCTCCCGCCCGACCCGCCAGAGATCCCCCATGCAGAATCTCGCTTTCGCCCGGGACTTCATCACAGTCTGATCGCACTTTCGCATGGAACACCCTTGTAATATATATATATATATATACATATATATGTATATATATATATATATATATATATTATATATATATATATATAGCGACGCGCCCTCGACGTCTCGGAATCGGGCTCTCGCACGAGCCTTTACTACCATACCATGCGGACTCGTGCTCTCTCTGGAGGCTTTTTGTCGAGATTTGCAGACAGTGTGCCGTAAGGTCCAGCTTACCACAAAAGTACTGCTTCTCTCTCTCTCTCTCTCTCCTCCCCGTCCTGCTAGATCCTCTTCGCCCTCGGGCCTCCTCCCTCCTTCTTGCTCCCCCTCTTTTTCTCGCTCTCTCCCTTTTCCCTCCTCCTCCTCCTCCTCCTCCTCCTCCTCCTCCTCCTCCTCCTCCTCCTCCTCCTCCCCCTCCTCCTCCTCCTCCTCGTCTTTCAGGGGCTACGCCAGCTGCACGTGGCGCGCAGGGAAGAAATGCCCTCCAAAGGGGGCACCGGGACAGTTCAAAGTCGGAAAAAGACTCGGGATGGAGAGCCGGTGACGGGAAGGGGCCCAGAGCTTTGGCGAGCCACGCCGCGAAATTGTCACGACGCGTCTGGGCTAGTGGGGGGCCCAGGCGCCCCCAGCAGTGGCCTTGCGCGCTTGGGGCTGGCCCACGCCCCTGTTGGCCCCTTGCCAGGAAGCCTGGATGCACATGCCAGGCGGGGCGAGGACAAGGATAACGTTCGTGCCTTTTTTTTATTCCTCCAAGAGGAGGACTGCGAGGACTACTTTTGAGTCGGGCGTGTCCCCCGACAGGGGGATTTTCGACGAAAAATAAAAAAAAACTTCAAAAAGACTCCAAAATGGTATCAAAAATATTCAAAAAAACAGTCCGTCCCAGAGCGTTGCGGAGCGCTCTCGAAGTGTTCCAGGGCGCTCTGAGGAGGCCGCGGCGCCCGATGCATCCTTCAGGACCGCCGGATCCAAGAAGTTCCCATATTATATATATATATATATATATATATATATATCCCTGTCGGATGTTGTCCTTGTCCTGGCTTCGCCTCAACATGGCGTGGCCAGCCTCAGCGAGAGTCGGATGCACGTGTTGCCGCACGTCTTCACGGTGCCCGGCCCTCTTCCAGTCGGTCGCGCAGGCCTTCCGCACGTGTTGTACGGCGACCGGCCTCCACCTGCCCCACATGCCTGGCCATGCTGTGCCCCCCGCATCCTACACTGAAGTTGGGCCTGTCCCTCTACAGGAGGAAGTAAGATTCCGATCTGTTTCTAGGACTCCCAGATGGGGTCGGAGCAGATGGCGTCGGAGGATCGCGGGCGCATCGCGGGTGCATCGCCGATGCGGCTCGATGTGGAGCCCGATGTTCTCCACGCCGACGTCGCCGATGCATCAACGCCGTCGCCCATGCATCGGCGATTCGGCGCGGTGCTCCGGCCCCATGCATTTCGGACCCCATCTGAGAGGCCTCTGCATGCGCTTCCAGCTGTGATGCGTGCTGCCCGCTTATCGGCAGAGCCGCGCACCCGAGGGTCACTGCTTGCCCATGGGGTCACTCCTTGCGTGAAGCTGGTGGGATCCGCCTGCATGGTGATGTTTTCCGAGCATTCTCTTTGGGTGGAGGGCAAAGGGTGAAATCTGAAATGCCGTTTCGATGGATGGTCGAGGCTTGAATCTTCGAAAGGTGAACCGCGAGACGGACTGACTTTCGAGGTGCAAGGCCCGCATGGATTTCACCCTGAGCCCTCCACCCTAAGAAAATGCCCAGGTCTTCAATCTGCGGCCCCACAGGTCCCGACCCTATCCCCGGGGCCAGTTGCTCGTCGCAGATCCGCCCTCGATGGCCCATCGGAGCCCGAGCCCGGCCCCCGCAGGCCGAGATGGACGATCAGCCGCCGGCCGCAGAGAAGCAACTCCGTCTCGAAGTTCTGGGAAGGCCGAGTTCTGGGACGGGCCGCTGCTGATTGGCTTGTTTTCCACCACCACCACCACCATAAGTGGGAGGGGGGAAGGAGGAGGAGGAGGAGGAGGAGGAGGAGGAGGAGGAGGAGGAGGAGGACCCCCTCCCCCATCCAACTTATGGTGGTGGTGGTGGAAAACAGGCCCATCAGCTGCTGCCGCAACCCAAAAATAGCGCGCATCAGCGTCTTGCAGCCGATGGGGGAGCGCCGGCTCGGCGCCGACTTGCCGCCCGGATTCGCGTGGACTGCCGCCGAGTAGCGTCGCCTGGCGTCGGCTGCCGTCGGTTCGCGCCGATGCGCAAGAGCCAAAACAAGATGTCGAGGTCCCCTCGGGCTGCCACAGAAGGGCGCCGCCCTTCTGTGGCAGGAGGAGGAGGAGGAGGAGGAGGAGGAGGAGGAGGAGGAGGAGGGGGAGGAGGAGGGGGAGGAGGAGGAGGAGGAGGTAGGAGGAGGAGGAGGAGAGGAGGAGGAGGAGGAGGAGGAGGAGGAGGAGGAGGAGGAGGAGGGGGGGGAGGAGGACCCCCGATGAGCCGCGGCTCCGCCTCCGATCGCGGCCGGCCCGGCCGCCGTGCTCGTAGAGGGCCCCCCTTTTGCCGCCGTGCGCGCGGCGGGCCGGCCCGGCCGGCCGCGGCTGGGCGCCGTCGAGCCCCGGCGGCGTCGCTCTGCGAACCCAGACCCCCTCGAGTAATGAAAAAATCACGACGGGAGGTTTTTCCTACTTTTCGGCCTCTGGGGGCCCTCACCGGGCCTCGGGAGCGTCAAAAAACGACTCAGGATGCAAAGCCGGTCATGGGGAAAGGGTCGGGACCTCTTTGGGGGTCGACGTAAAGAAAAAATCATTACGTCGGGGGTCTGGGAAGAAGTCGCGACGGCAGCAAGACGACGCGAAGATCGGGACCAAATCGGATCGGGATAGCTCGGAATCTCTGAGAGAATCGGCGGGGTTGGGAGGATATGTGTTGGGCGCCGCGGCCGCTCCAGAGCGTTCCGGAAGGCTCCGCGAGAGCGCTCCGGAACGCTCTGGAGCGAGTTGTCCCGATGCCATATAGCCCTGTTTTAGGCAGGTCTTGGGCCCGTGTGCTGCCTGTGGGGGGGCATGTGCCAGGTCAAGGGGTCCAGATGTTTCAGGAGGAGAAAAAACACACAGACACAATTAATCGTCGATCCCCCAGAAAATATAGGAAATATGGGAATTGGGCGGGAAGACAAAAATCCAGAAAATATGGGAAAATATGGGGAATTATTTTATTTGTGTGTATTTATTTGTGTCTCCTGGGGCCCCTTGAATGTTGAGGGGGGCCACGTGGGCGAGGCAGAAGACGTGCGCCGACGGCGCAGGGACCCTGGCGCGCGAGTGGCCCGCGCAGGGTCTCGCGCGTGGGCGCCCTCGCTGTGTCCTCTGCGGCGCTGCTCGCGCGGGCGGCCCGCGCGCAATGCCGCTGTGCCACGCGTGCGTAAGGCCCGTTTCTCTTCTCGTCGCCAACGCCGCTGCGAGAATCACCACCCACCAAACCACCCCAACCCAACCCGAAGGCTCAGATTCAACCTCGATTTCCAGTGGGGGGGGGGGTCGGGGAACATCGAAAAAACACGCGTGGAACCCGTACCCCCCCCCAACCCGAAATTCGGGTCTTCGGGTTGGGTTGGGGTGGTCTGGTAGGTAGTCAGAGAAGAGCAAGCGCGACGTCGGATGGCCGGGGGGCTTCGGTCGGCGGGCGCTCGGCCCGCCGCCGGAGGGCCTTTCGGCGATCGGCGCCCCCCACCGAGGTGCTGAGGCCCGACGCGCTGCTCGCGCGGGCGCACCGCCGCCGCTTCGCGGCGGTCCGGGCCGCGCACCGCTTCGCCGGCGAGGCCCGCCGTGGCACGAGGGCCGCGTGTCTGCGCTGTGCGAAAGGGCGACCCTTTGGCAGAGTGACCTCCGGTGCGGTCCCTCTGGGATGGTCTTCCGAGCGTTGAATCAGAGGAGGAACCACCCTCCGCCCGTGTTTCCTTTTTTGGGGCTTCCCGGGAGGCCCTCGTCGCCACCGCTGGCTTCGCCTCGAGATCCTGGTCGAAACGCACCCCGAGCGAGGTGCGGGGAGTGGCGGTATTGGTACCTTCTGGTTTCCTCAGCGGGCGCGGCGCGATGGCAACGGCTCGCTCGCGGGGGCCTGGCCCCCCCCGCCGTGCCCCCCGTGGAGCTGCGCACCGAAGGCCGCTCTTGCCCAGGGGTCACTCCTGCGTGTACGCAGCTGAGGGTTGCGAGGGTCGAAGGATTGCAAAAAAAAAGGCTTGCAGAAAAACCCTTCGTTTTTGCAATCCTTCGTTTTTGCAGTCCTTCGCTTTTTGCCATCCTTCGATTTCTAGGTGGACGCTGGCGTGGCAGATGTTTCACATAACGGGCGTTTTCGCACGGGTTATCGGGCCACGGGGCCCTCACGGATCGATCCAGCTCCAGGAATGCAGATGGAAGTGCGGGTCCATGGCTCTGGTCGTGATTCCTGACGATGTTGCATTTTGATCGCGAAGTCGGATTCAACCAAGGTTTCGCATGTGTTCGACCTTTTGCGTCCTCCTCGCCACGGCATAATCCCCTTCGTCGTAAGACTCAAGTAACACGCTTCCCAAAATAGCTCGGGGGATCGATGCGTCAGGGTCGCCATGAAGATAATCAAGCCACAAGACCCCAAGGGAAGGGGGCCTTGATCTTTTTCATACGTTTTCGGCGTCCCATGGTTCTTTCTGGACCCTCGAGCCGTCAGGAAACGGCTCTGGAAGGCCTGATCCCAGGGTCGAGGATGGGGGCGAAGATCACTTGGGTCATGCCGCCCTCTTCGGGGGTCAGCCAAACCCCTCTGTTCCCATCTGGCCGATCCGGGCTTGGAATCCATATCATGAGTAGTCCCCCCTTGACTCCACTCCTTCGCTGACTGGGGTTTGGGAGCTACGTCGCGGCGAGCCTGGGCTCAAGGGGCAGCCTTGGTTGATTCGGTTCAGCGCTGAGCCGAGCCATCCCATCCCCGACAGGGCCCGTCTTCTTCTATCCTTCCCATCATTCTAAGAGGTGCACGCCGAGTTCGTGATGGCCACCCGCGAGACCGCGTACTCCATCTGCGCGCACGCGGGTCTTCGGAACATGATGCCCTGCCCTCGTGCTCGCCCCTTCGGGCCTAATGGGAGCTCCTTGTCGCCACGGCTGCACTCGCCTCGGAATCCCGGCGCCGACGCGCCCCAGGACGGGTTCTGGGAGGAAGTCAGGTTGGTGCACAAGGTAACGCGCTTGCTCCTCCTCCTCCTCCTCCTCCTCGTCCTCCTCCTCCTCCTCGTCTTCTTCCTCCTCCTCCTCCCCCTGCTCCTGCTCCTCCTCCTCCTCCTCCTCCTCCTCCTCCTCCTCCTTGCGAGCCTCCCGCACCTCCTGACACCACCCGCACTCCTTCTCCTCCTCTCCTCCTCCTCCTCTCTCCTCCTCTCCTCCTCCGCCTCCTCCGCCTCCTCCTCCTCCTCCTCCTCCTCCTCCTCCTCCTCCTCCTCCTCCTCCTCCTCCCCCTCCTCCTTTCCCTCCCCAGAGCCCTCCCCGGGGTCTGTCAGGTCTTCCGGGCGGGTCCGGCCGTGGCGGCGGGAGGCCTCCACGGGGAGGGAGGACGAAGAGGTCGCCGGTGAGGGCCGCCGCGGTCGCCTTCTTGGTCGCCCCCCGACGCTCCACACCCAGACACGATGGCGTCGTGACAATTATCCTGGCGAAGGACCCAACCATATGCAGTTGTGAGTATCGCAATTGGGAGTATCTTCTTCGGTGGCGCTCCCTATGGGGCCACGAACGCAAAGGAATACGATTGATCTGATTACGAGAGAAAGAACGCGGGTGAGTCAGAGCGCGAGGGAATCTGAGTATGAATGGGTCTGCGCGCGAGTGAATATATTTGCATGAATGCGATCATGGAACCGCCTAGTGTAAGTGTCGAGCATGCCTGTCCGAACACACGTGACACTGGGCGTGGCCGCCGCAGGCAGCTTCCGCGGGAACCCCGACGGCAGCGTCCGCACGTCGCGACGCCCATGTCGGCACGCCTCTTGCGAGGATCGCGCCCGCTTTCGGCTCTTCCTTTCCTTCCTCTTTGCCCGCGTACTCCAAAATCCAAGGCTGCGGGCGCAGCGCAGCGCGGAGTCCCCGCGACGCGCGCTGGTCGCCCCGGGCGGGGTCCCAGCGACGCGCGCGGGTCGTCCGCTGCGCGAAGCAGAGAGAGCTGACTAGCTAACTGGCTGGCTGATAGCGGGCCAGTCTCTGACCGCTGGGCAGAGCGACGACGGGCGAACGAGGCGCCGGGCCCCCCGCAGCACGGAGTTCCCGCGACGCGCGCTGGTCGCCCCGAGAGGGTCCCAGCGACGCGCGCGGGTCGTCCGCGGCGCGAGGCCAAACAATTAGTCGGGCAGTCGAGAGAAGGCGCGGCTCGGGGGAGACGCTCCTCAGGTCAGGCCTCGCGGATGAACTCGGTGAAGCCGAGCTCCCTGGCGAGGGCCGTCGCTTCCCTCCTGCACCGCTTCGTGCGCGCCGCAAACTGCTCCAGCTGCTTCCGCAAGCCCTGCGGCGGCCCTGCCAGGAAGAACTCGATGCGCGGCGCCCGCATGAGCAGGAGGTCCTCGTGGCGCGTGGCGCGCGAGAGCAGCACGTAGAGCTCCAGCCACCAGTCGTCGTCCTCCTTCTTGCCGTTCCCTACCTCGTGGCGGCCGCAATCCAGGATCACGCCTGGGCGACGTCGACCGAGGGAGCAGCGCGCCGGGCAGCCGACGGCCCAGGGCGAGAGTCCACAGGACCGAGAGATGGTCTGGCCGCGGACTGCTCGCGCCCCGGAGGTCTGGCCGCCCCCGGAGCGCCGTTCCCCCGCCCCGTCGCCTTCGCGCACGGTGCGTCCCTGGCACGCCACCGTGGTGATGACCCTGCCGTGCGAGAAATGCGGGGGGGGCCGAAATGGGTGGGGGTGACGCATGCGGGCGGCGGGCACTGGGGCCTTCGGTGGAGCTCCCTATGGAGCCACGAAACGTGTGAGGGGTGTGCCGAAATGGGTGTGGGGGACGCATGCGGCCGCGGGCACTGGGGCCTTCGGTGGAGCTCCCTATGGAGCCACGAAACGTGTGAGGGGTGTGCCGAAATGGGTGTGGGGGACGCATGCGGCCGCGGGCACTGGGGCCTTCGGTGGAGCTCCCTATGGAGCCACGAAACGTGTGAGGGGTGTGCCGAAATGGGTGTGGGGGACGCATGCGGCCGCGGGCACTGGGGCCTTCGGTGGAGCTCCCTATGGAGCCACGAAACGTGTGAGGGGTGCCGAAATGGGTGTGGGGGACGCATGCGGCCGCGGGCACTGGGGCCTTCGGTGGAGCTCCCTATGGGGCCACGAAACGTGTGAGGGGTGTGCCGAAATGGGTGTGGGGGGCGCATGCGGCCGCGGGCACTGGGGCCTTCGGTGGAGCTCCCTATGGAGCCACGAAACGTGTGAGGGGTGTGCCGAAATGGGTGTGGGGGACGCATGCGGCCGCGGGCACTGGGGCCTTCGGTGGAGCTCCCTATGGAGCCACGAAACGTGTGAGGGGTGTGCCGAAATGGGTGTGGGGACGCATGCGGGCCGCGGGCACTGGGGCCTTCGGTGGAGCTCCCTATGGAGCCACGAAACGTGTGAGGGGTGTGCCGAAATGGGTGTGGGGGACGCATGCGGCCGCGGGCACTGGGGCCTTCGGTGGAGCTCCCTATGGAGCCACGAAACGTGTGAGGGGTGTGCCGAAATGGGTGTGGGGGACGCATGCGGCCGCGGGCACTGGGGCCTTCGGTGGAGCTCCCTATGGAGCCACGAAACGTGTGAGGGGTGTGCCGAAATGGGTGTGGGGGACGCATGCGGCCGCGGGCACTGGGGCCTTCGGTGGAGCTCCCTATGGAGCCACGAAACGTGTGAGGGGTGTGCCGAAATGGGTGTGGGGGACGCATGCGGCCGCGGGCACTGGGGCCTTCGGTGGAGCTCCCTATGGAGCCACGAAACGTGTGAGGGGTGTGCCGAAATGGGTGTGGGGGACGCATGCGGCCGCGGGCACTGCCTTCGGTGGAGCTCCCTATGGAGCCACGAAACGGTGAGGGCCGAAATGGTGTGCGCATGCGGCCGCGGGCACTGGGGCCTTCGGTGGAGCTCCCTATGGAGCCACGAAACGTGTGAGGGGTGTGCCGAAATGGGTGTGGGGGACGCATGCGGCCGCGGGCACTGGGGCCTTCGGTGGAGCTCCCTATGGAGCCACGAAACGTGTGAGGGGTGTGCCGAAATGGGTGTGGGGGTCGCATGCGGCCGCGGGCACTGGGGCCTTCGGTGGAGCTCCCTATGGAGCCACGAAACGTGTGAGGGGTGTGCCGAAATGGGTGTTGATGATGATGATGATGGGAGGGGGGAGGGGGCAGCGGGAGGAAGGAAGGAGGGAGAACGCGGGGCACCGTCTCTTCAAAACGAGGACCCAACACCACAGGATGGTTGGGAAAAAATCTGGAGGGGAGGTGGTTCGGCATTTTCGATCCTTATAGAGGCCCTCGCCGGGCCCCAGGACCGTCAAAAAACGACTCAGGACGAAACACCGGTCCCGGGGGAAGGGTCGGGACCTCCAGGGACGCCGTCCTGGAGACAATCCGGACGTCGCACGTTTGGGTACAGGTCTGCTGGCGAGCGGCGCGGTGGGCTGCGCGTCGAAGGGCGTCCACGCCACCACGGCGCTGATGCTGCCCAGGCTCCGCGAGGCCTTCCCGGGCTACGCCTACGTGTGCGGCGGCGAGACGCCGGAGGGGGCGGCGCTGAGCTCCGTGGCGCGCTTCGACGTGGCCTCTGGCGCGTGGGAGGCCGCGCCGCCCATGCGCCAGCGGCGCTCCGGCGCCACCGCCAGCGTGGTCGCGGGCGGCCTCTACGTCTGCGGCGGCTCGGACGGCGACGAGATGCTGAGCTCGGTCGAGCGGTTTGAGCCCAGGCGTGGGGGCCGTCCAGAAGTATTGCCAGATGCCGGCCCCGGCATCACCTCCTGGCCCACGCGGCCCATCCTTCTGCCCGGCGAGGGGTCCGATGGATCGGCGACAGCGTGCTCAGGCCCATGCAGCCGCCTGATGGTTTCGGCGGGCAAGATGTGTATCCACATCCACTGCATCTTGAAGTATTGGGAGCCCTTCTCCAGACACCCGAGGAACAGCGGATCTGGATAAAGATATGGCCCGTACTTTGGGCTCCCCTTCCGTGACAGTCCAAGACTCAGTGGATATGGATATAGGTCTTGCCCATCGTTTCTCCACTGTGTGGTCACTGGGAGGCGTTCTCGACGCCTTCCCCTGGGCCAGTTTTTCGCCCCGCACTCTCATCATTGCCCCCCGGGGTCAGGGACGGGCATGCGATGGCCGAAACCGAGGACGGCACCGACGACGCTGACACCGACGAGACCCTGCGCCCACGAGGCTGACGGTGCCGACGACGAAGCCAGCGACGCTCGCGACGACCACGACAACGACGATTATGGTTAGATCGTGGGAGTGTAGATAGCAAGTCCGAAACGATTCTGGCCAGAAATCTTGCGAAAATCTGTCCCTGAATCTCCCGCCGCAGTGCTGGGGCCCCCTCAGATCTCCAAAGCAGGTCCCCATGGCGAAATTTCCAAGCTAAATCTCCACCGAAATCTCCGTGAATCCCCCTTCTGGTGGAAATCTTCGGCGAAATCTCCAGGCCATTCCGCCCGCGCGAGAATCTCGGGCGAAATGTCTGGGGTTCCCGGAATTTGTTGGGATTGAGCATCTCAGTGGAAATCTCTGTGGACATTTGTTCTGGGAGATTTTCTGGGAGACTTCCGAGGGGCACGATTTTCCATTCGATTTCCACTGAGACTTCAAGGGGCAAGAGTTTCTATGACATTTCCGAGGGGAGAAATCTCTGGGGGTGTCCTGAATGTGTTAGGATGGATGAGAACGTGGGATGTACGACATCTCAGTGGAAGTCTTTTTGGAAATTTCTTCCGGGAGAGTTCCTGGGAGATGTTCCAGAATATATCCGAGTTGCGCAAGATTTCCCGGGAGTTTTCCCAAGAGATTTGGGGGAGATTTTGCCACTGAGACTTCCGAGGGGCAAGATTTCCCGGGAAGATTCCGAGGGGCAAGATTTTTCGGAAAAATTTGCCGCGGAGACTTCCGAGGGGCAAGATTTCCTGGGAGATTTCCCGAGGGAGTTTCCTGGAGACTTCCGAGGGGCATGGGATTTGGTTTGAGATATTCGTGACTTCTGTGGGGCGTCCAAGAGTTGTTTGGGAGAGTTTGACTCGGACGTGCTATATCTAGGCGCTCCAGCCGATCTGGGACTCATGGCCGCCGACTGCCGCCGAAGACCGCCGGAGGTCGCCGATGCCGGCGGGCTGCCGATGGCCGCGGCCGACGGCACCCGAGAGGGCCGCCGCGGAGGCCGCCGACGCGGCCCGGAAGGCGCGCGCGCGCGGCGCGCGGAGCGCCCGACAGGCGGGGCGCCTGGGAGCCGGCCCGGCCCATGGCCTGCGCCAGGGACGGCGCCTCGTCCGGGGTGCTCAGCGGCAGGCGGCCGTCGTCGTCGCCGCCACCGTCGTCGCCGCTGCGTGGTCGCCGCGGCTCCGCCGCCGCAGGCGGCGCGGAGCCGCCTGCAGCGTCGGCGTCTGCGCGGGCGTCGTCCTCGCAGCCGCGGTCGTTTTCGGCCCCCCTCGTCCTGCTCCTCGGAGGACGAGGGGGGGAGGAGGAGCAGGAGGAAGAGGAGTTGGAGCAGGAAGGCGGGCGCGAGGGCAGGGAGTGAGACGAGGGGCTTGGAGACGAGGAGGAGGAGGAAGAGGAGGAGGGCCATGAGGAAGACTGGGCACATGCGGTACTAGCATGAACATGTCGATCCAGTAGCCGAGTGCCCTCCATAGTAAAGCATCCCCCCTTTGGGCTTGAGCGTTGATTATCCAGGACCAGGACAGAGTTGGTCGGGGGAGAAGGGCGGCGAGGCCGAACTGCATTATTGCCGGGGGAGGTACGAATCGAAGTTGTTATCTTCTTATTTCTGACTAGCAGCAGTGTCACGAACGCGTGGCAAGGCCATGGGATTATCACCTTTTCGGTGGAGAGTTCCGAGGCCGTCACTTCCCCCGAGGAAAACATCCCAGCCCGACATCCAGACATACGAGTCGCGTGGACGAAAAAATTGTGATCCCCCCCCCCTGACTCCGAGGTTTATCACCCCTGGGGGATTCTGATCAGGGGCATTTGGTTGAGCGAACGAGCAGGAACGCGTGCGCGAGGGGAAGGGGAGGGCGAGGGAGAGAGGGGGCCGAGGAGGAGGGCCGTGGGGCAGACTGGGCCCACGAGCTGAGAGCATGGGCATGCCGATCCGGTCCGCGAGCATCGGCGATCAGCAGAAGAGCTGTTTCTGGGGGGGGGGGGCGCTCCACGGCCAGGCGCCTCCAAGTGCCCGTCAGTCGAGGCCGCAGGACTCGAGCCCGCCACAGCGGAGGCAGGTGCGGCGGGCTGTGCAGGGGTGCCGCCCCCGTGGACGGAGCTGCGGCGGGCGTTGCGAGGCACTGGCTCGAGGTGCCGGTGGTGTCAGGAGGTGCGGGAGGCTCGCAAGGAGCAGGAGGAGGGGGAGGAGGAGGAGGAGGAGGAGGAGGGGGGGGAGGAGGAGGAGGGGGAGGAGGAGGAGGGGGAGGAGGAGGAGGAGGAGGATGAGGAGGAGAGGAGGAGGAGGAGGAGGAGGAGGAGGAGGAGGAGGAGGAGGAGGCGGAGAAGGAGGAGGAGGAGGAGGACATCGAGCAGACTGCCGACGACGACGATGATGCCGACGGCAGCAGTACAGTCTGGACACTGACGTAAGGAGCAGCTTGGGTTCGGGAGGGTTTTGCTGTTCCTGAGCTCCTTCCATGGCCGTTACTCCAGCACTTGTGCACCGAGGCGTTTTTTGTTGGAGGGGAACGGGGTTCGCTCCTTATTTCGTGCGTGTTCTCTGTGGTAGCCTTATTGTAGCGACGGCGAGGGGGGGCGACGGCGCCGGCGACGGCCACGGCGACGACGACGACGACGGTGGCGGCGGCGGCGGCGACGGCAGCGGCAGCGACGACAGCGACGACGACGAGGCGACGACGACGACGACGACGACGCCGACGGTGACGGCGACGGCGATGGCGACGACGACGATGACGAGGGTGCACAGCGGCAGGCTGTACGTCTGTGGCGGCCGCGCCAGCGAGCACCTGCAGCTGAGCTCCGTGGAGCGGTTCGACCCGTGCGCCCGCGACTGGGAGGGGTCGCCGGACCGTGCAAATCCTAATCTCCGACGACTTGAGTCCCAACCATCCTGTGGTGTTGGGTCCTCGTTTTGATGAGACAGCGCCCCGCGTTCCCTCCCCACTCCTCCCTCCTCCTTTCACTCCCTCCTCCCCCTCCTTGCCTCTGCCCTCCGCATGTCTCTGTTCCGGCACACCCAGTACAGCTTTTCGTGGCCCCATAGGGAGCTCCACGGAAGGCCCAAGTGGCAGGGTTCGCATGGCGCTACCGCGTTCGTTTCGGCACAGCCCTCACACGTTTCGTGGCCCCATAGGGAGCTCCACCGAAGGCCCCAGTGGCGGGGTTCGCATGGCACCACCGCAGCCATGTCGGCACACCCCTAACACGTTTCGTGGCCTTATAGGAGGCTCCACCGAAGGCCCCAGTGGCAGGGTCGCATGGCGCCACCGCGCCCGTTTCGGCGCACCCCTCACACGTTTCGCGGCCCCATGGGGAGCTCTACCGAAGGCCCCAGCCCAGTGCCAGGGTTCGCATGGCGCCACCGCGCGCATTTCGGCACACCCCTCACACGTTCCTCATTCGGGGCTCCACCGAAGGCCCCAGTGACAGGGTTCGCATGGCGCCACCGCACTATTTCGGCGCACCCCTCGCACGTTTCGTGGCCGCGGGAATTGCGCCGAAGGCCCCACTGGCAGGGCTCGCATGACGCCACCGCATCCATGCCGGCACGCCTCTCACACGTTTCGTGGCCCCATAGGGCGCTTCACCGAAGGCCCAGTGGCGGGGATCGCATGGCGCAACCGCACCCATATCGGCACGCCCATGACACGTTCCGTGGCACCATGGGAATCACCACCGAAGACCCAGTGGCAGGGCTCGCATGGCGCCACCGCGCCCATTTCGGCGTACTCCTCGCACTTTTCGAGGCACCACAGGGCGCTTCACCGAAAGCCCAAGTGGCACGGCTCGCATGGCGCCACCGCACTCATGTCGGCACACCCTTCACACGTTTCGTGGCCGGATTGGGAGCTCCGCCGAAGGCCCAAGTGGCAGGGCTCGCACGGCGCCACCGCGCTCATTTCGACGCACCCCTAACAAGCTTCGTGGCCCCATAGGGAGGCTCACCGAAGGCCTAGTGGCCGGGTTCGCACGGCGCCACCGCGCTCATGTCGGCACACCCCTCACACGTTTCGTTGCCCTTTTGGGGACTCCGCCGAAGGCCCCAGTGGCAGGGTTCGCATGGCGCCACCGCGCTCATTTCGGCACAGCCCTCACACGCTTCGTGGCCTCATAGCGAGGCCCACCGGAGGCACAGTGGCAGAGTTCGCATGCGCGCCGATTTCGGCGTTCCCGTCATTCGTTTTGTGGCCCCATAGGGAGCTCCGCCGAAGGCCCCAGTGGCAGGGCTCGCATGGCGCCACCGTACTCATGTCGGCACACCCCTCACACGGTTCCGCCGAAGGCCTCAGTGGCATGGCTCGCATGGCGCCACCGCACCCAGTTCGGCACCCATCACATGTTATGTGGCCCCATAGTGAGATGCGCCGACCGAACCAGCGGCAGGGCTCGCATGTCGCCACCGCACTCAAGTCGGCACACCCTTCACACGTTTCGTGGCCGCATAGGAAATTTCGCCGAAGGCCCCAGTGGCAGGGCTGGCACGGCACCACCGCACCCATATCCGCACGCCCATGACACGCTTCGTGGCCCCATGGGGAGCTCCGCCGAAGGCCCCAGTGGCAGGGCTCGCACGGCGACGCGATGCTCATGTCGGCACACCCCTCACACGCCCCGTGGCACCATAGGGAGCTCCTCCGAAGGCCTCAGTGGCAGGGATCGCATGGCGCCACCGCGCTTGTGTCGGCACACCCCTCACACGTTTCGTGGCCCCATTGGGAGCTTTTCCGAGGACCCCCAGATGTCTCGCCCATTCTCCGAGGCCAGCTTTTCCCTCCCTCGAGATCGCCATCGAAGAACAGATTCACACCTGAGGTACGCACACCTGCATATGGTTGGGTCCTTCGCCAGGATAGTTGTTTTAATCATGACGGTGTTTCTAGGTTTCGGCTTCAGGGATCCGTCATCGGGCCCCGGGGCCATGAACAATGGATCCAGCGACGAGACAGACTGTCCCCCGGGGAAGCGGTCGGGATCTATGGATCATCATATCGTCTGATGCTTGGGAACGCCGCGTTCTCGTCAGCGTCGGCGTCGTCGTCGGATCGTCGACGTCAACGTCAATGCCGTCGTCGCCGTCGTCGGGGGGAGGTGACGTGGAGAAGGGGGAAGAGGAGAATAAGTGGGGGTGAAGAGGGAGAAGGAGTAGGAGGAGGGAACGGGGCAAGGAAGAGAAGGGTTACGATGAGGATGAGGAGGAGGAGGGGGAGGAGGAGGAGGAGGAGAAGAGTTGCTGAGAAGGAGGGATGGGGGAGAAGGAGAAAGCAGGAGCAGTAGCAGGGAGAGGAGGTGGAGGAGGAAGCAGCAGGAGGGTGGGTAGGACCACGACCGAGGCTCGTACCCGATCACACTGTTTCTGGAGCGAGGTCAAGCCTAGATGGCTGCGCACGCGCCGCGCCCTTCTGCGGATGAGCCCACTGAAGGGAGAGGACTGCACGGTCTGCGCGGTTTCGGGCAAACCGCCGTCCACGTCAGACAAACCACCAGGAACGATTTTGTTATCCCACCCTCCCCGACCCGCGACGTCGTGATGTTCCTTCATGACGTGGGCCCCTACACCCCTTCCCAGGGACTAGCTTTTCATCCTGAGCCACTTCTTCCTGGACAGGGCGTTGGCCCAGCCGGCGGATTTTCTTCAAAAATAATGGGGTCGAAGACGGCTGGCTGATTCAACTTCGAGGATGTCTCAGGCGAGACGCTGGTTTTCGAAATCCCGAACGGTATATACATAACAGGGTGAAGTGAACATTGTCGGTTGTTGCGGATGTCTCGGGCGAGACGCTTTTGTCACAAAGCATGATGAGGATGATTCGACCGAAACGCCTGTTTTGCCCTACAGTTTGCCCCTTACCTGGGGCTCGATTCTCATTGTGTGTTTACGCATATTCCTAATACGTGGGCTCCTAACGACTGACAACACGTGAGCTCCTGACGCCCCAGAGCGGGACAAGAGTGAAAACACGCGGGCTCCTAATGCCCCAGAGTGGGAATAGCGTGAACACACGTGGGCTCCTAACGCTCAAGAGTTGGACAAGTAAAGGCACGTGGGCTCCTACTGCCCCGGAGCGGGACCAACGTAAAAAACACGTGGGTTCCTGACCCTCCACGGCGGGACAGGCGCGAAGACAAGTTGGTTCCTAACACCCTCGCGCGGGACAAGCGTGAAATCATTCGGGTCCCTAACGCCCCAAAGTGGGACAACTGTGATAACACGTAGGCTCCTAGTGCCCAAGAGCGGAGCACGCGCGAAAACACGTGGGCTCCTAACGCCCCAAAGCGGGACGAGCTTTAAAGCACGTGGGCCCCTAAAGTCCCAGAACGGGTTCGTGGGCTCCTAACGTCCCAGGGCGGGACAAGCGTGGCAACACATGGCTCCTAACGCCCCATTGCGGGGCAACCGTGAACACACATAGGTTCCTAACTCCCCAAAGTGGGACAAGCGAGGAACCACATGGGTCCTTAACGCCCCAGAGCGGGACAAGAGTGAAGACACGTGGGTTCCTAACGCTCCTGAGCGGGACATGAGTGGGTTGCTGGCATAACAGTCCATAGAGGCACAAGCGTGAAAACACCAAGCGTGAAACCATGTGGGCTCCTAACGCCCCAGGACGGGGCAAGCGCGAAAGCACATGGGCTCCGAATGCCCCAGTGAGGAGCAAGCGTGAAACATTTGGGTTGCTAACGCCCCAGAGCGAGACACATGTGAGACCACGTGGCCCCCTAACGCCCTAGAGCGGGACAAACGTGAAATCACTGGGGTTCCTAACCTTCCACGGCGGGACAAGCGTGGCAGCACATGGTTGGTTCATGCCACCCGCAGCCTGGACAAGCGTGACAGCACCAAGCGTAAAAAAAACACGCGGGCCCCTAATGCCCCAGAGCGGGGCAAGCGTGACACACACACACACATGGGCTCCTAACCCCCCAGAGCGGGAAAGACGTGAACACACGTGGGCTATTCACGCCAGAGCGGGACAGGCGAGAAAAAACGTTGGCTCCGAACGCCCCAGGGCCGAAAACACGGGGGGTCCTCACGCCCCAGCGCGGGACCATTGTGGAAACAGTTGGGCTCCTAGCGCCCCAGGGCGGGACACGAGTGCACGCACGCGGGCTGGTAACGCCCCAGAGCGGGACAGCTGTGAAAGCACCTGGGTGTTCACCCCTCCCAGGGCGGGACAAGCAGGAAACCATGCGGGCTTCTGTCGCCCGGGAACGGGGCAGGCGTGCACCTACATGGGCCCTTAACGCCCCTGAGCGGGACAAGCGCGAAAACACGTGAGACCGCCACGGCGTATGTTTTCCCATTTCGGCGCGTCCCGTGGCGCGTCCCCTGGCTTGTCCTCTATCGCGTTCCTTGGCTTGTCCCCTGGCGCTTTCTCTGCCCGTTCCGTGGCGAGTCCTTCGTCACGTCCCCTGACACGTCCCCCCGCGCATCCCCGAGTGAGTCGTGTCTATGCGCCCTGCGCCCTGTGTTGTCTCGTCCGAATCGGATCTTGAGCACGAGCTCATTGAGCGTCACACACGCTTCGGCTGCAAACAGCTCTGGGCCAGCTATGCGCCCAGGCAGCTCGAGCTTAATATCCAGATCAGTTCGGCCAGTATTCGGACGCCAGGGGCGACTTGATCCACAACACTATTGAGCATAGCGCAAATCATTTCGACATGGCACATCTCATTGCAGCTCGGCACAGCACAGCACAATCCTTGGCACGGTGCATCACGATCCAGTCCTTCAGCATTGCCATTGCTTGTCGCCCAGTCAGGTGTCTGAAAACTTTGCCATGCCTTGCGTTTCTTGATGGTCCGAGGCCTGGTGGGGGGGAGCCAGAGGCCGTCGCGATTCTGCTCAAGACGCGAAGGGGGCCTGGGCTGAACGCCCAGCCTGGAACCAGCCTTGCCCTCCTTCCCTTCTTCGGGTCGTTCTATGGAGAAAGCCTTGGAGGCCTCGCGCGATAGTTGTGTCATCCAGTCCACACGTCCGCTCCGTAGGATTTGGGTCGACGTTCGCAAACGGCGTCGTTCCGACGTGACTCCGACGCGAGTCCCGGGTAAGTCCGACGTCACCCGACGTCAACCAGACGTGGATCGGCTGTGAATTGGGCCTCGTGTTGCCGCGCGAGGCCTCCAGGATTTTCTTCGTACGGCTTTCACCGTAGCGGTCTGCTCCGCGGCAAGCCCAGGGGGGGAATGCAGAGGGGGCGGGCCTTCTCAGAAGGTTCGCGGCGCCTCGGGCCTTCTGGGAAGTGCTCGAAGAGGCCTTCTCCGAAGACCTCTTCTCGGGAGGCGGCGAGGGCTTCTGATGAGCTTCGGCGCCTTCTGAGAATGCCGGCTCCCTCTCACTTCACCTTTGTGCTCGCCGCCAGTTTGCGGAGTGTCTCCTCATAATGTCCTCATAAGATCGTTTCACTGTTAGTTGAGCGTGCCGATCTCCGAGAATGCGGTGACATTAACCCGGCCAGCCAATCGAGCACGATCGTTCTTAGTTGTGGACGGGTCTGGCCCCCATGAGGGAACGCGGATTTGCATTGGGGGGTGGAACAAGAAGACTGCACCTAAAAGTGGCCCTTCGCCTGGTGCGGGCCCGCGAAGGCCCCCCGATCACCGAGCGCGATGCGGTCGTAGCGTGTTGCAGTCGGGCCGCTGAAGAAGGAGCACTTACCCATCGGTCGTTGAAAGTAGGTATTTTTGGATTCCCAGATTCCAATCTACTTTCAGCGCCTTCCTACTTCAAGAGTCGAGTGGTTTTCCCTCTTCCTTCCTCTTCAGGAGGCGGGCGGAAACCCAATGTATTTCCAACGCCTTCCTACTTCGTGTTTCTACCTACTTCTTCCGACCGATGGGTACTGTTCAAAAGCGGTTCTGTCGCTCATTGGTTTGCATGCGTTCCGCTGTCTTCGGGCGACGGGCCCCCCCGGTGTTCCTTCGGATGGTGGGCGCGCGGGTTCGCGTCGTCGATCGGGGCGGCGGGCTCAGTGAGCGGGGCTCCAAGAGGGGCTCGGTTCCTAGCGCTGGTTCGACACAAGGTATCAGCCACGCGCAGAGGGTGGTGGGGGGAGGGGGGAGGGCTTCTTAGAAGCACCCCTGCTTCTTAGAAGGCGCGGGCCTTTTTTTTTCTCGCTCTCTCTCTCTCTCTCTCTCTCTCTCTCTCTCTATATATATATGTGTAAGGCTGGCGCCTTCGAAGAAGCGGCCTCCTTCTAAGAAGCCATCCCCCTCCCTCCACCCCCTTGTGCGCGCCGCCAAAGGTAACTGGCGGTGGTCGCGTAAAGGTCCAGCTCTTCTCTCGGGCCTTCCCATTCCTTGCAGGGGTGCGCCTCCGAGCGTTCGCCTCTGCCCGTATGCAGCAGTAGGGGCGTTCCGGTCCAGCTCCTCGCTGGGGCACTTCCCGCGCCTGAGGCCATGCGCTATGGAGCTCGCTGGCTCGACGTGCAGCGTTGGCTGCGCCAAAGGTCCAGCTACTCTTTCGGCCCCCCCCCCCGCGCGTGTCGGAGCTATGGGCCATATCCGCATGCAAAGGTAGGGGCATTGGGGTCCAGTTCCTCATTGGAGCACCTGGCTTTGCGCGCCACTCGAAAACTGGCCCCACTGAGGCCCAGTTCGCCACGCGAGGCCCTGGCATTCCTTGCGCGGTGCGAGTTGGGGCTCACGCGCGAAGCCGAATCGGGAAGTGGTCACGTTAAGGCCAAGTTCCTCGCCCGAGCCCTTTTCATTTTTCACGCGTTGTTCGCGGGCTGCGTCTCTGCATTCGATGTTGGAGCGGCGGGGGAGGAGGAGGGCGGGCGTTCCTTGGCATTTTGGCCGAGGGCGTGGGGCTCCACTTGCCAGGTACGAAGGCTTTTGACCGTCGGCTAACAAAACTCAGAAGGCGCCGCATGCCGCCGATGACTGGCTCAAGACGCAAAGGTGGCCCCATCTGCTATCTGGAAGCCCTCGTGAAATCTCTGGGGGAATTGCAGCCCAAGCAAGAGCGACTGCGTTGGATAAGGGTGTCCAGGGCCACTCGGCCTCCACGTGCAAACGAACACCGTGAACAAACACAGCACTGCGGGCATGACGGCGACGATGACGCAGATGATGAAGAAGCCGACGGTGACGATCACACGGAGTGAGTAGGGTGTAAGCCGGGCCAGAACGGGGTGATCTCCCATCCCATGTTCTGTGGGGCGGAGTGGTCATCGCCCTGCTCTAGATACACATGTTAATCCAGGGTGCGAGCCCCTGGGTTCGGAGCCGCAGCCGGACCAGACACCTGTTCGCTAAGATTCTACGGGGGGCGGGGGGCCTCAGAGGATGACATGTTAGGATCAAAACTATAGCACCGCCCGTGTGATCGCGAAGGCAACCCACGGCGGGACGCCGCTAGCCAGGAGGTCGGCCGTTCCTTCGGGCGCCATGGACTTCTTAAAAGGGGGCCTCGTGCATGATTTGTCGCTCCTAGTGTTAGCGGCCCGACTGTAAGCGCTTGTGTTTTGCCCCCCCGCGACCAAGCCTCCTCCTCCGCCTCCTCCTCCTCCTCCGCCTCCTCCGCCTCCTCCTCCTCCTCCTCCTCCTCCTCCTCCTCCTCCTCCTCCTCCTCCTCCTCCTCCTCCTCCTCCTCCTCCTCCTCCTCCCTCCTCCTCAACCTGCTCCTCCTCTTCCTCCTCCTCCTCCTCCTCCTCCTCCTCCTCCTCCTCCTCCCCTCCTCCTCCTCCCCCTCCCCTCCTCCTCCCCCTCCTCCTTCTCCTCCTCCTCCTCCTCCTCCTCCTCCTCCTCCTCCTCCTCCTCCTCCTCGTGCCTGGAGTCCCCCCCCCCCCGCGTGCGGCCGGAGGTGGGGCACGCTGCCGCTCATGGCGTTCCAGCGCGTGTGCCTCGCCGTTGCCTCCCTGGGCGGGCTGCTGTACGCCTGCGGCGGGCGCGACGTGCAGCGCCTGCGCTCGGCGGAGCGCTTCGACCAGCAGGCCGAGTGCCGCGTCGACGCCGTCGCCCTCGTCCTCCTCGCCGTCCTCCTCGTCCGCCTCGTCGTCCTCCTCGTCCTCGTCGTGCTCCGCCCCCCGTCGATGCGGGGGTCGTCCGGGTGTCCTCGGGCCTGGGGCTTCTTGTCGCCACGGCCCGGGCGCGCTTCGCAGCTCGAAGGGCAGGGCTGGGGTACGGGACGAGCCCAGGGGACAGGTCCGGGGAGCGATGTTGAGCAGACCTTGGTCCGACGGAGTTGTCGTCGTCTCCTCTCGTCGGGTCGCCGGGGCTCTGACCTGGCCTCCCAGTGTCACTCCCTTCCTTCCCTTTCCAAGGCGGGGGAACTCAACGCCAATAGCGCACGGGACCTCGCTGTCAGCTTTCCGAGCGTACACCCCTTCAGGGTCTGGACGGGCGCCGCGAGGCCCGAAGGACACGGCAGCAAAACCCACCGGGAGGGGGGTGGGTCGGCCAGCGGGCCTTCGAAGCTTCCTCGGTGGGGGCGGGGGTGGACTTACTGCAGTGGGGGCCTAAGCCAAGAAACACCCTGCTTGCCTCCAGGGTGCCCTGGGTATCTTGGGTTTCGATGGTTTTGCGATGGCCAGCGCGATGCTCCCACGCCAAAGATCGATGGACGTCCCGGGGTCTCAGGGTTTTGGATTTCTTGTGGACGGTTCTTGCGGACAGACCTCCGCTATGCTACTTGGACCTGCTACTTGGGCCGTGCGGCAGCCACAAATCCTCCGTCCTCCCCCCCCCCGACCCCTACGACACGACCCGCCTGGCGGGGTCCACCCGTCCCGCATGTCAGTGGCCGCCCCTCCAACCCGCCCATCAGGGCCCGCCCGACCCGACCGTTCAACTTGTGGTCCTACTCAGTCGATTGGGCTCCCGCCCGTTAGGCTCCGCCCGACCGTCCCGCCCGTTGTGGTCCGCCCGCCCGACCCGCCCCTGGAGGTCCACCCACACGAGCCTCTCGTGGGGGGGGGTCGCCCGCCCGACCCACCCTTCCACTTGAGGGTTCCACACTTTCGCCTCCCGCCCGCCCAACCCGAACCGCCCGCTCGCGTGGGGCCCCAGACTTTGAACTTCCGTCCGCCCGACCCGACCCGCCCTTCCGAGATATGGTCGTACACTGTATGGTCGTGCACTTCGAGGTCCCGCCCGCCCAGCCGAGCCCGCATGTTGCGATCCCGCCCGTTCCGCCCGCCCATCCCGCCCGTTAGGGCCCGCCTGCCCGACCCGACCTGTCCTTCCGAGCTGCGGCCTTATTGGATGGGGTCCCGCACTTTCCTTTCTTGGCTGGCCTGGTTCGCTCGTCCTCCCCGTTGGGGTGCGCCCGCCCAGCCCGACCCGCCCTTCCGAGTTGTGGCCCTATTCGATGGGGACTTTCGCTTGTTTGTCCCGGCCGCGCGACCCGACCCGCCCGTTCGGCTCCGTCTGCCCGCCCAAGCCGCCCGCCACCAGTGAATGAGCAGAGTGCGGTGGGGGCGTCGGTTAAGGAATGCGCCCAGGATGCTGCAGGCCCTGGAGGATTCCTTATCTGATGAGGGCGGCGGTGATATCCATGGCCAATCTTCGATTGGAGTTCCACCGGCCTCCAGACCCTGTATTCCTTATCTCAGGGTTTCTTCACCAATGCCCCCACCGTAGGTTGAAACGTGTTATGTCCGTCTGCGTTGTCACGTGACGAGTGGAGTAGAGTCTTAGTTGTTGTCCTCCGCCCCCCGTGCTGTGCCACGTGACGAGTAGGGTAGTGTCATGGTGGTGGTCGTCTTCGTGGTGGCTGGTGGTGGTGATGGTGGTCGTCGTCGTCATCGTTTGCCCACGCGAGGCAGGGGGAAGGTGGAGGGCTAAGTCTCAGACCTTACCTCTAGTCTTGTTCGTTTGTTCTTCCTTTGGGCCCCCCTGGTCCCTACCAGCCTTGGGCCTACCGTGAGCCCAGGCCCGACCCCGGGACCCTACCCCTTGGCAATACCCCCGGCCCACCTCCAGGGCATACCATCAAGCTGCCCTTAGGCCCGACCCCAAGACTACCCTAGGATCCCCCCGAGGCTATACCCCTAGGGCCTACCCCTAGGTCTACCCTAGGCCTGGGCAAGGCAAGGGTCGGCGACCCTAGGCTAGGTGGCCTAAGGCAGCCTTACCCCCCCTGGCATCTGTACCCCCCTCCTCTTATCCCTGTCATTCCTATTGGTCATCCTTGGGGTTTCTTTCGGAGGGACTCTGGTGACATTTGATGGCGTCGGGGATGATTAAGATGGCCCCTGCGCAAGCACGGTGCGTGCAGATCGAGACGTGTTCGCGTATGCACGTCGCCCAGGGTTCCTCTTAACTGCGTTTTCTTATTCGCCTCGCCTTCTTTCACGTCAACGTTCCTTGTAATTCTTGCAATAAGGTTCGCATGGCCGCACGAGGCACGCTCGAGCAGAGGAATACGCCCACTTGCCCTGCATTCGCGCCCCCCTTCTTCCGTTATTCCTTGTCCTTCTTGCCTTAGTCCTCCTCCTCCTGCTCCTCCTCCTCCTGCTTCTTCTCCTCCTCCTTCTCCTCCTCCTTCTCCTCCTCCTTCTCCTCGCGAGCGCGCCTAGCTTGCCTCCTCCCCCTCGCTCTCCTCCGCGCCCTCGTCCTTCACCGCCCTCCCCCTCGCCTTCGTTGAACTCCTCCCTCCCGGAGTCCACCTCGACCCCGAGCGCCACTGTACACCCCCGCCCTCCACATCCGCCGTGGCCATGGGGCGCCTCGCCGCGGCGGCCGCCGCCCTGGCCGCCGCCCGGCCCGCCGCCCTGGGGCTGCAGATCCACGACGACGCCGAGGCGACCTTCCCGGCCCTCACGCCCCTGGCTCCATTCCAAAAGGTCCGCGACGGCTCCCTCGGAGGGCACCAGTTGCCCAGACCCCCTCGCGTCGCGACCCAGAAAACACGACGGGGCCTGTTCGCTGTTCTCGGCCTCTGGGAGCCCTTACCGGGCCCCGCGACCGTCAAAGAACACAAGTGAGGACGCGAGACCGGTTCCGGGGAATGGGTCGGGTCCTCGGGGGGCCGACGCAAGGAACAGACCATGACGTCGGGGGCCTGGGCATGCACCTGCACCGATCCAGGCGAGGCCGATCCGGGATCCAGGGTCCGAGCCCCTGCCCTCCGGCCCACGCCAGGAGGGCGCATGCACCGATCCGGGGCCCAGGATGAGCCTGGCCAGGATCGGTGCAGGTGCACAGTGGGTGCCTTCCCACTCCCGGGCCTCTGGCTCGGCGCCGAGAGAAGGGGGAAGCGCGAGGAGGAGAAGGCCTTCTCGGCAGGCGGCGGGGCTCCTCAGAAGCCCTCGCGCCCTGAGCGCGAAGCTCTCGGTGTCTTCGGGGAAGACTCTATACTTGAATGACCGTCGGGGTTGCTATCTAGATAGGTGGTTTCGTATGCTGGATAGGTGGTTCTAAACCGTTTGTAGAACCTCTTAGGAAGTGGTTAGGAACAGACCGAAACAGGTTAGCTAACCTAGTTTAGCTAACCTGTTTAGGGGTCGCCGTAAACAGTTTAGCTAACCTGTTTAGGGGCCCGCTTGAGGCCCCTTCCCAGACACCCAGAGAGAGGCACAACAACATCGACGACGACGAAAACGCCGAGAACGACGACGACAACGTCCCTCTCTCCGTGCATTTCCGCTGCTGCCTTGCCCTGCGAACGCCCCCGCGCAGAAACAGGTCAGGAGCGCCCGCCACGGGGGAGGGGCTGGAGGGCTAGGTGGGGGGAGAACGGACTGGGGGCGGCGGTGGAAATATGTCGTTCGCCTCTGCATGCAACGTCTTAGCAATGCTAAGTCCCACATCGCTGTGACATCACAGCCCAGCCCTCTTGCGAAGCCTTGGGGGGAAAATGACCTGCGACATTTCCCCCGCTGAAACTGGGAAAAAAATACAAGATTCGATGATGCATGATGCTGGCATCATCTGTATATCATCGCACTTTACACACTTCGCAACGTTACCCACAACATCAGCTGTCCTCCAAACAGCTATGAGAGACTTCACTTCTGGCTGAAATGTTAGGCTGAAAAAACAAGCGACCTCTCCGAAGTGTATCGAGCCACTGCGCTCGAGTGCGACAACATCACCTACTTGAACACCCCTGCATTTTACGAAAGCTTTCCTACTGACCTTCAAGCTCTCGCGGGGCAACATACCTACGAATGGTTCTTACATCGCGCGGACTTGCTTGCTTGGTAAGCTGGGCTCATCGAGGTCGGGGCGAAGCAGCGGACGGTTCTCGAGCTCCCACAGGTGAAACGATGTTATCTCCTCTAGCATACCCTTTTCAAACGAGACAGTGTTCCTCCTACCCTGCGCCATGCGTTTGAAAACACGATGTTTGCGCTCCTGCAGGAACGTCGTCAGTAGGCACTGCTGCCTCTGAAGCTGGTCTGGCAAATGTGTCCCGAAGTGGTCCTTTGGGACCCAAATCTCGGACGTATACGCAATCCTACGGAGGTTGATATGGGAACAGATCGCATCGCGGAGTTCGGCTGGGCTGACCACTCCGCTGTTGGATATAAGCAACAAACCTACAACGCGGCACAGTGCAATGCAGCTCGCCACCTCGCCCTGAAGCACGCCCGTCCCCGCCACTACGTCCACGACAAACTTCTCGAGGACAGGCGCCAGCGACACCATCTCAGAAGCACTGCCTGACAGCTTCCCCTTGTGCAGAGCATTGACCCCGCTCGCGTAGGACCGAGGCCATGCCCACTGCTTGACATATTCGGTCAGCGCCGCGACGCCGAGCCTGTGGTCACTAAGCCGCTCAAGGAAGCACCATACTTCATTCGTAAACGTCCCCGTGATCATATAACAATGCATCCAGTCCCACGCGAATGCAGTTACCAGCGGTATGTCCAACTCAGGACATTGGAGTAATGATTGAGGCGCGTAGTTGAAGCCGAAGAGCATTTCCATCCTCTCGAGCTCCTTCTTGGTGGAGTTCAGGCTGAGGTCGCGAAGCCTCTGCTGCACGGATTTGACGGACGCGTCCGTGTGCAAGTCGAATCGTGTGATGTCTGTCTCATGCATGGGTATGAGGTAGCCCGTGGGGTCGGGCAGGAGGTTGGACCTTGGCATGACGATGTTTTTGCACAGGAGGCAGGGTTTGATGCCTCCTGCCCCCTTTGCCTCCGTGACGAACTTATGCTCCCGCTCATCTTGGATGAGCACTTGCAGCGACCCGCGAACGAAGTGGGGCTGGCCGTTAATGAGCATCGTGACCCCATGGCGGAGATCAGCACCATTCGGGCCGCCGAAAAAATATGACAGAACCCGCCGCATCACATACGATATACCACCAGCTACGTTCTCCACCACTGACGATCGCACAACTGACAAAGTAAACCAGGCCGTCTCGTTGGATAGAATGGGCCAACCGAGCTCACGCAACGACCAATATATTGCGTGTGCTTTTCGGTCCTGGCGGGACGCGAGGACGTTGCCTGGCACGATCTCGTCCGAATATAGAAGCACAGAGAGCACGCCGCCACTCTTCTCCAGGCGATCTAACAGTATTGCCTGGAACTCTGCAGACGAACGGCAGCCAACCTCGAGGAAACCAAGCGGATGCTGGACCCAAATGTCGATAGGAGTGCCAGCAACGTCGATGGTAAAGGACTGCAGTAATGGACCGAAGCTGGTAGCTTGCTGGCACAGCGCAGCCCTGTGTCTAGCTTGGGTCTGCCTGGACCAAGCCTCTGGCAGACCTTCAGCGCTCACCTGGTCAAGGAGCGCCGCCATGGCTGAAGCGGTCATGTGTGATTTTTTGCCGAAAGAAGTTAGTCTAGGTTTCTTCGTTGCGGCCGCCATGGCCGCAGCAAGAGATATAAATTGGAGCCAAAATGGCTATATACGCTGGAGGAGGGGAGGAACTCGGTGGAGGAGGGATGACGGCAGGAACGGATTGGCATTGCGATGCGCCGTCGCCCCCACGATTTGATTCGCATCGGCATCATGGTCAGAACGCAGAGTGCGGGGAGAGTCTCGATCTTGCTTCTGTCTTCTGCCCCCGTGTGTTAATATTTATTATCCTTCCCCTCCTCCTCCTCCTCATCCTCCTCCTACCCTTCCTCCCCCTCCTCCTCCTCCCCCTCCTCCCCATCCTCCCCCTCTTCCTCCCTCCCCCCTATCCCCCTCCTCGTCCTCCTCTATCCTCCCCCCTCATCTTTCGTTTGCGCTGTGATGCATGTTTAATGCGATGATTGTGTTTGTCGGCGTGGTGGTCCCCCTCCGCTCGTTCTCCTAATAGGTTGCATGTCTTGTGTGTGTTTTTCTGTTTCAGGCACCCTTCGAACGCGCAGCTTATTTCCTATTGTGCAGTGTGTTTGCTTTTTTATGTTTTTGTTGGGGTGGTGCTTGGGGCTTGGAATCACCTGTGCAGTTTCGGATGCTTTTCTGTCGGCCTTTGGGTTACAGTGTCGGTGGGTTGGTCTGCTGATTGGGCTTGTGGTATTAGGGGGTGGTGCTTGGCATGGCGTTATGTTTTCCATCACTGGCTGCCTTCGGAAACTGCGTTGTAGCGGCTCAACGCACCGCGAAGATGAACTGTAGGCTCCTATAGAGCCCGCTCGCAAACCATGACTGTCACATTCGCGAAGCTCCCCGATACGCTATTGCAACTGGAATGCGCGGGCAGGCTGCAGCAGGCTGGTGTACATTGGAATGGTGCCTGCTCGCCTCAGGAAGGCCTGCGATAGTAATCAAAAACAGCCGCTGCCATCTGGTACGCCTGCTTGGCGCACTCTCCGACCTGCTTCGCGCTCAGCTTAGCATTCCCTGCGCGGGTCTTGGCCACGCCATATGCCCTGCTGGCGAATGCGTTCTTCGACCTCGTGCCGATCTGCGATGGGTCGGTCACGTCTTTCAGGCTGATGGTGGTGCCGCCGATCTTGGTGACGCCTCGGGGGATGGCGCGGGCGGTAGAGGAGCAGGACCCCTCTGCTCCCGTTCCTCCTCATGTTCCTCCTCCTCCTCCCCATCCCCCCCATCTTTATCATCTGTTTCCTCCTCCTCCTCCTCCTCCTCCTCCTCCTCCTCCTCCTCCCCCTCCTCCTCATCGTCCTCCACCTCGTCTCCCTCCTCCCCTCTCCTCCCCCACATCATCTTTCCCCAGCGGGGCGCCTGAGACGCCGCAGGGCTTCGGGGCGACGGCTGGGTCAGCAGGCGCGGCCCGAGCTTTGGCCTTAGCCTTGCCCTTGGCCTGGCCCCTGGTCTTGCCCTTGCCCCTCCCCTTGCCCTTGCCCGCGCCCTTGGCAGCAGCCTTCTTGCCCTTGTCAGCGGCCTTCGCGGCGGCCGACTTGCCCTTCGGCGCCTTGTGCTGGAGGTGGCTGCCAGCAGCCGCGGCCGAAGCATTGAGCCTGCGCTCCAGGTCCCGCGCGGGGCCCTGGGCATCCTCAGCCTCTTCGGGTGCATCGGGTAGGTGGGCGGCAGGCGCTGGCACCAAGGCATCAGCTGCATACGACTCCGCTGGCGATGTGCGCGGGGAAGGCTGGGGGGTACCAGTGCCAGCCGACCCTTGCGAGTCAGGGCCGCCACCGACGCCCATGGTCAAGGTCGCTGCGCTGAGAGTCCCGTGGCTGCTAGCTCGGCTCGCAACATCATCTGATTTGCGGGGCCGATCGAAGATCTGGATGCCTGCTGCCTCGGGTGGGCTGCTCAATGTGCTGGGGGGCTGCATCACCGCGTTGAACTGCCTGGCCATCTCCAACATCTGAGATAACTGCTGAAACATGCCAGGCACACTGCCCATCGGGCCCATCGGGCCAACGCTACCCAGTGTGGCGAGTGCTTGCGAGGATGATGATGCCGCGGGGTTAGGCTTGAACGAGCTGTGGGTGGTCCTGTACCCCCTGTCCAGAGTCAACTGCTCGATCCGCTGGAGGTCGAGGTCAGACGGGGGGTTCACGGGCGCGCCGTCTTCGTAGGCGAACGCCTTGACCGCTGCATCCAGGTCGTTCGGTCCGTTCGGGTAGGTGGTGATGTGAGCACCTGGCCACTTTGGCTTGGTGCGATCGAGCGCCTTGACCTGCGACTGCAGATCTGAGCACCACTTCTTGAAGGTCGACGCGTCGAAGGTCTTCTCCTCCTCGCACAGGCCAATCTCGCTCAGGATGTTGATGCCACGCACCAGCATCTTCTCGCCAGGGCAAGACGCCCCGATGCACCAAAACCTGTTCGCCATGACCACAATCTTGGCGAGCATGCTCTTGCCGCGGTCGCTGAACTGTACCCAGTCTGACTCGGTGAAGTAGTTGTGCAGGGTGGTGTTC